GAAAAATTGAGAAAAAATATTAAATAAAAAAATATGAAAAAAAATATGAAAAAGGGAAGTTCACCTGGTCCACAAAGTCCAGCACAAGCCTGCGGTGGGCCTCGGGGAGGCCGTCCAATGGGTCAAGGTGGGTCTCGGAGAAGAAGTCCTGCTCAGTGGAGCGCGGCGTCTGGAAGTCCTGCGGGCTGCCGACGGGGCTGCTGATGTTCGTGTCGCTAGAGGTCATCCTGTTTCAAAAACAGAGAAGAAATCTTCAAGACCTACATTAGATTAGGCCACATCAATTCAATTTGTTGCTTCTCAGATGCATCGCAAAAACACAAGGCTGGAGCAAAAACTTGCACCTGACTCTGTTCACTCCCTGAAACTGTGTGCACCCAGGTACAGACTCTCCTCTTAGACTCCGTTTTTATATTGAAAGTCTACATGTAGTGTTATGTTTTAGATCTGAGAAACAGAAAATTAAATTGGTGTGGCCATAGATCTAGATTCTCTAGCAGTTCCTAAGACTTTTCCATTATTCTGATTTTATCCTTCTATCCTATGTATTATGCTACTCATGCATTCAAATGCTACATGTTTTGTACTCTATGCATTTAGCCCCATGGGCATGAACATGGGCCAATAAAATAAAGATTACCTGTTCAGGTCCGGCCTGAGTTCTGCAGAGTCTTCGCCGCTGGTTACCCCGGGCAACGTGAGGCAGATGATGTCTAGGGTTACGTAGAAGTCAGACAGATCCAGTTCCTTCACGCTCGGGTCCAGACAGGCAGAGACGTCTTTCACACAAGTGGGCAAGCTGTCCTGCGTCACACTCATACTCCCCCTGGATAATAATAATGAAATTTTATTGCCCGAGGGCTAATTAATGACCAATCACTACAAAACGTGATCTCGCGAGAGTTACGGTTTACAAACACGTGACCTTATTCTCACGAGACTTTACTGATATGTGACGTAAGCAATATTGATCAAAAGTGCCAGGGAGTTTATATCGTCCACCATCTCTATTGTGAAGTGAAGGCTGAAGTGCTCTGATATATATAGCCTCCTTAATGCCTCTAGTCCTGTTCAGTGTCCATATTCTAACTTTGTCCAGAGAAATAAAACCAATCACAACCACTACAGTAACTGTACCTGTGGCTGCCGCTTCTCAGCGAGCAGGTCAGGTTCAGGAAGAGTGGAGGGACGCTCCCCGAAGCTGCCTCCTCGAGCACGACAGATTCCCTGCTGCCAAACTCGCTCTGCACACTGATGGAGCCAAGCGTTTCCGTGTGCCCGTCGCGAAGATCATCCTCATCATCATCATCCTCATCCTCTGTCGTTTCCAGGGTGTCTTCGATGACGATGTCACTGTCGCTCACACTCTCGATCCGGATGTGCTCCGAGTCGGATTGGGCGTTGTCCTCCTCTTCTGTAGTGATGGGCGACTCGTCTTCGAAGTTATCAGCCGGTTCCTCCGCTTGCCGTGAGCTTCGCTGGTTCTGCCGAGGGGAGCAGTAGAAGTACAGGTCTGGGCTGGACGGGACCGGCTGGAAATACTTCCCAACCGTCTGCGCAAACTTTTCCTTGATTGTTTTGTGGAGCTCCAAGCTTGACTCGCAGGATGCAGGTAGAGAACTGAGGGGAAAGTACTTTGTTTTGTCCTCTACATCAACCACAGTGTCTATGCTTTCCTTTGTTTCGTTCAGGTCCACTTTGCTTGTGCTGTCCAGTCTGTGCCTCCGGAGGTGTTGGCAGGTGCTAAGGTGGCCGCACAGCGTTCCCAGGAACTCCGTAATGTCGATCTCGTGAAGCTGCTCTTCGCAGACGTTCTCCACGGCGGCTTGCACATCCTGGTGGTCCAGAGGAACCCCGTCCTGCAGGCTCTGGAACACGGCGGTGACATAACACTGCTGGATCCCGTCCGAAATCTGGTCGCAGAAATCCTTGAATGAGTCGCCGGAGCTGAAGTCTTCGTCGATGGTCTCCCGCGAGTCGACGCGCTGGTCGGCGTTCAGTCGGACGGACTCCCGGCTCTTCCAGAAGTCGCTGAACTGGCTGTTGCTGCGGACGAGGAACCCCTCCCGGTCAAACCGGTGGTCGCGCACGGTTTCCGGCGTGGTCTCCACGACGCCCAGCTCGAGCTGTCTCAGCAGGCAGGACTGCTGGCAGCTGAAGACATAAATAGGGATAGTCACCGGCGGAGTCACTGAAGAGCTTGTATCTTCAACTTCTTCTTTTTCTTCAACTTCATCTTCTTGCCTTGTCTCTTCTACCACAGCTTCAGGATGGTCTTCTGCTTGAACATCACTCTCAGACAAAGAAGGTTCGGATTCATCATCTTCTCCTGCATCACCTGTAGCCAGGGTTTCTTCCACACTTTCTAATGACTTGAACTCCTCCACCTCTTCTATCTCTGTTAAAACGGTCGGCATCTCTTGCTCTGCTCTATCAGCTGACTCGTCTCTTTGCACCCCATCCTCCTCCCTTAGCAGTCTTGCTTCTTTCTCCTTCTTCTTTCGGTAGTTGTCGAAGACGACCACATCCTGGTAAGTCTTGGGCAGGACCGTGAGCACTACATTACCTGCTCGGACAGACTTCATGTAGCACTTCCACTCGACCGTTGGGACTTGTTCTTCCAGTATCGCAGCAGCAAGGCTCTTTGTTTCTGTCTGCGGTGTGCTGCTGTCCTCTTCCGTCTTTTTCCCACCTGCTGCAGTCTTGGCTGCTTCAGTTTCTGATGATTCTGTGTCCCCAACGATAGTGTCGTCAGCCTTGTGATCGGTTGAAGCATTCGACTCTGTCAGGGTTTTGGTGAAGCTTGTGGAAACGTCGTCTGAAAGAGGCATCTCGCGGTGGGTCAGTTCTGCCAGCCGGTCGTGCATGAGTTTGAACAAGTCCCTGTTAGCCTGCTGCCCCTTTGGCTGGGTCTCACCCTCCTGAGGTTCCTCCTCTTGTCTACAAGCCTGGAACTGCATGGAAACCTTCTGGCAATGCGGCAGCAGCTCGACAAGATCGAAAGGGAAGAACAGGTGCTTGATGTTGCTGTCCGTAGCCCCGAAGTCTGCTATGGTTGGAGTGGTCCGTCCGGACCCCCCTCCCTCCATTGCGGTAGGCGGCGGGACGCAGCGGTTACCGCACATCGCGAAGAGATGTTGGAACGTCACGAGGGAAGAGATGACGTGGGAGTCGAACGGGAGCAAGGCCTGGGGGATGTCCTGGTATTCCAGCCCCTCCAGGTGTCTCTGGGAGGCCGGGGAGTCGATCACGACCCCGCACTGCGGCTCGATCCAACACTCCACCACGATCTGCAGCTCCCCGTCTGCCTCGGTCGTCTCGAGTTCGTCGTCGTCAGTAGAGATACTGGTGACGCTGTCTTTTGTTGTGCAGGTGTGGGGAGGGAAGAGGACGTACTGCAAGAAACACGAGAAGACGCCCCCTTCCGAATCAGTCACTGTGCTGCCACGCAGGGGGTCCCTCATGTGCACCTCGGCCACCATGCTCACCATTCCGGAGTAGCAGTGCGCGAAGCTGAAGCCCTCACGCAGCCGGGTTTTTGTGAGAGTTGCCAGTATCCGGGCTGCATCCTGTGCCGTGACCGGGGCAGCTGGCGAAAGCTGGATGCCCCACACCCACCGCTGATGGTACAGGTAGCGCGAAAGCGTGCCGAACATCGTTGTGGCCGTTTTGTTGACAGTGATGAGAGGAGCGCTCCCCCCACCGCCAACTCTTGCGGCTGCAGGCGCTTCCACTGAGGCTGAGTACAGGTTGGTGTAGTCTGAGGGGACTTTCTCGTACCGAATCAGCATCTTTTCCAGCGGTTTGGCCTGCAGCACCAGACAGGCTCTCTCCGCCTGTCCCTGCTCTGTCTTCTCTGCAATACAATAATACAATATTCGAATTAAAGCTCAAGTGTTGGTAGAATCCATAGTTATAAGTTCAAGCTTGTTACAACACAACAGTTCTTTCCTTGTGTTGGAACAAGCTTATTAATGACGAAAATACAATATGACTTTAGTAGTATATTGCAGTTGTAAAACTGAATGAAAAACCAATTTACATGAAGAATTTATCTAGTTTTCAACATTGCAGACATACAATATTTACAAGCTTTCAACTTTTAAATTTTGCAGATGAACAAAGATGTACGGAAGATCATCAAGAATTATATACTTTGTTTGATTTTTGATTCATAGGTTGAAAAACTAGCAGACATACTGATTCAGCAGTCGTGTCAGGTAAGGAACTGTGGAATGACTGCAAGGCTTGAAATACTGGGTACATGTGCACCTTAGTTCGTGCTGGAGCTGTGGCCTATGCACCCATTTTTTTCTGTGGGTGCAAAATTTTGTAGGTATTTTTGTTCATATTTAATGTATAATTATAGTATACATCTTTGTTGTAGTACTTGTGTAAGATTTTGAAGTTAGCTCCCATTTTAGATTCCAGCTTAGAAGAGGAGCAGTAAGATCAATAATTAGGTTTTGCTTTAAATGGTGCACCCAAAAATTTTTTTGTGCACCAAATTTTTAGGTTGGGTGCACCAGTGCACCTATTCCCAAAAATGAATTTCAAGCCCTGGGCTGTATCTCTGCAGCACCTTGTTTGGACGGAGAGGGTTTTCCCTTTGGCGTCTCCACTTTGTGCGCCCGCTTGCTGAGTGTGTTCAGCTTCTCCTTGATGTCGGTGACGATCTCGTTCCTGACGTGCCCCGGGGTTCCCCCAAGGAAGGCCAGACGTACGACCATGCAGGGCGGCTTGGAGGAGACGCGAACCACGAAGAAGGATGTTGGGGGTTTGTCCTTGTTAGAAAGAGAGAGAGAACGGTTTATTCAACATGAAAACTTTTCTTTTTTTGCATTCTCGCCGCAAAAGCACCACCTACTTTGGCGATAAATAGCAGCGAGTTGCAGAACTCCAGTCAGAAGCTGTCAGGAATTAGGTGTCTGATAGACATCGAAACGTAAGCAGGTGAGAACCTTACTGGTTGTGTAAGAAGAAAATTCTATGTCCCTAAGTATCATCCAACCTGATGAAATTATTTACGGAGATAAAAAACTTTTACTTGCAGCACCAGTGCTGAATTGCAGTTTCCTTACACAAACATGTAGTTTAAATCTCAGACTTATTAGCATTATACATTACAAATACGTATTCAAACAAGTCATGAATCCTATGAAATTGCTACCATCACAACTTACAATTATTATAATAGCATAACTGTCACAGCTTGTCCGGCACTTAAACTGTGTCAGTTTCGTACTGTTCCTGAGTGTTCTATTGTGGACATTCCCCCTTTGTGATGACAGCCAATTACTAGCCTCCATAGCATTCCAAAAACTGGGGCTTATATGTGCTATTTTCTGATTGCATATAGACAACATAGCCAGCCTGGTTGAATTACCCCCGTTTTGTAGAACTGGGCTAATCAGAAAACAGCCAAAGACCACCAAACCCCCAGCCTGCTACGGAGGCTAACCAATTACGGTATTTCTCACCTTGTTGCTGAAAAGCAGCTTGACGTAACAGTAGCTCTCTACGAGCACAAACGAGGTCTCCTTGCTCAGAAGCTTGTGGACTTCGGTAAACGACACGCGGCACTGGATGGTGTCGTAGCGTCCGTTCGGGCCGGGAATGTGGAGGTGGTATGGCAGGGGTTTGTCGTGTGTGAGTAGGATGGTGATCCGGTGCGTGTGTAGCCATCGCTGCCAAACGTTCGTGTCCAGCTGGACCATTGGCTGCCAGAAGGCCGCAAACTCGGCCAAACCGGTCTCCTTCATCTCCGAGTGCTGGAGAGACGGGACTGGCGCAGCCGAGCTGTGGCTCATGTAAAACAACGGGACGCCATTCCATACGCTCTCCGGCACAACGTAATACCGGGGATTGCTCGCAAAGGACTGGATGTGGACAAGGAGCTGGTCTGTACGTGAGACGCCATGGACTGTCTGCCAGAATCTTTTTACGACAGAAGTGCGGTATGCACTCTTGAATGGCTTTTTCATGGGGCAGGTTATGTCATGGAGGAAATCGTAGCTTCCCTCCAGACTGACCTCGACTTGGGTGAGCCGCTTCGTGTCCTTGGGAGGCCAGGCGCTGGACGCCGTGTACTCCAAGGTCACGTCGTGTTTCCATGGCAACACGACCTTGACCTCGATCTGGGTGTCGTTCTTCGTCATGTTGACCTCCTTGATGGTGTACCCTTCGCGCAGGCGCACGGCAAGGACATTAAAGATGGAGACCTGTAATTGTATAACAGACCAGTTCACGGATTGAATTAACTGTTACGTCACAGGGGGGGGGGACATTTCGAGTTCTAGAACCGGCTTTACCTTGCGTTGTCTCCCCCAACAGATACCTGATGTGCAACTTTAATTTCTGAAAGTTCCTGACCTGCCCCGGTTCAAAGAGTCTAAAGCCTATTGATACTTCACGAAGGATGGCTGCTCTGTTACTTCTTGCTCAAACACATTCATATATATGGTCAGACAGGAGTCTACTGATAAAATTGCAACATTATGTAACCCTACACCAGTTACCATGGTGACAGACGTCGACAAATCAGGCCATTGGCCAGGTCAGAGGTTAGTGTTTGGAACGGAAGAAGAAACGTAGCAAAAAGAATACGTTTTCCTTTGGTGAACATAAAAAAAGACGGAGACCTGCAGGGTTGTTTCGCTGTGCTTCTTCCTCATGATGGGGCAGGCGCTCATCGCCTTTTCATTCCACATCCACCGTGGCTTCTCCGGATCGGGGACGGACGGGGCTACGCTCTCGCTGAACTGTCCTCGCATAGCTTTCAACGGCAGCTCGCTCAGACCCTTCTGGAAATGCCACTCAAACAGAGCCTGTAAAGTATGTGTATGTAAGTTTTGGTCAGCATGTATAAATTAATGTAATATTGTTAGTAATTGATGTAATTAATATAAGTGATGTTAAAGGTGTATTTAGCTAATACTTGTAAAGAAACAAATTAACTATTCCTATTAAATAAGTAATACGTGGAAGCATACACAGGTGTTCATTTAGCAGTAATTAAAGTAATTAAGGGAACAGTCAATCAACGACCAGATCTCCAAACAGGGTGCACCTGCTACCCATTCTATTTCCTGCTATTAGTGTTTTCTTTGATTCAAATCTTGTTCATTTAGTAATAATGGTAATTTCTCTTTTAATCATGTAGCCAACAAACAAACAAACCTTCTGGTAGGTGTTCATGCCCTCGGCTGTCTTCCCTACACTGGGACAGAACTCGAGGTAAGCGCCGAACGTTGCCGCAGCGAGGAACTTCAGCAGCTGGTTGTGCAGGACATAGCCCATGGACATACTTGGTCTGTGGTGGTAGAAATACTTCAATTTTTCAGTGTGCTGCAATATTGCAGAATGTCAAAAGTATTGTATTGTTAATAAGTATTGTATTGTTTAGAGTTAAAACTTTTGGTCCAACACAAAAAAGTTCTCTTACCTAGAGCTTTTGACCAGTCACTCTGGTCAGTCTACCAGATACCTTTGACCAATTGTTGACGTCACACTTCAAAGAAGCCACGTGACAAGCCTCACTGGGTCAGTCTACTGAGGAAGACCAGAGTGACTGGTCGAAAGCTCTAGGTGAGAGAACTTTTTGTGTTGGAGCGAAAGTCTTAACTCTAAACATGTAACTACACCACAGATGAACTTTCATGATAGTATAAGTATTGTCTTGTTTGCAATTCCAATAAATCAAATCAAGTCAAACACTGGCCTGTACGCAGATCCAAGCTGCAGGATCGTGGAGCTTCGCAGCTGCACTAACAGAGACTCCATCATCTCCATCTCCATCCCCGTTTTTTCTTTATTATCATTGCCATTATCATTATTTATTGTATCCCTATTCTACTGTTTGTATGTGACTGTTGTGTTTTGTTGTGTAAATCATCGCCCCATTCCATTGAAAAGAAGTGCAATCACTTAATGGGCCACCCTGTATAAAAATGATGGAAAATAAAAAAATAAACCAAATCAAACACTGGCCTGTATGCGGAGCCGAGCTGTAAGAACGAACAGGCGATCGTGGAGCTTCGCAGTTGGACCAACAGTGACTCCATCATCTCCATGTTGGGCATGGCGGTGACTCCGTCCGTGATGACGACGATTCTCGCGCTCGTGTTGTCCGGGAGGAGCTGCAGGGCCAGGATGCCGTAGCGAAGCATGTTTACTAGTCCGACATCCGGCGTTACCATGGCGTCCCACGCCTTCTTGCCCCCCAGGGGGTCCACAATGTCGTCAAACATCCCGCCGGAGAGACCCTCCCGACCCTGCATGGCCACACGGGAACCTTCTGCAATCTTGTTCTCAACCTGCAGGTAAACATGGCAATGATTTATGTATTACATGTAGATAACTGAGTGTGTATTTTTAAGACAGTCACACAGTCTATGATAGTCACTTTAATATTGTTACTGATTCTATCGTCCCCTCAAGTTTTTATTACCATAGATATTGACTGTCCTTTGGCGTAACACACCAGCTTCGCAGGCACTCGGTGCAATGGCAGTGAGCTACATTACACCAAACCTTCACATTCAATTGCAGCAGTTGTTTCAAGCTACCCAGTGATGATGCCTCAACTGTGCTTGGTGGCAACGAGTTCTTGAATGTAGAATTTCTTATTACCTCATAGAACTGCTGCCTGACAGTGGCGAGCAGGGCGGGCAGGTTACTCTGAGTCACCAGGCAGCCCTGTATGATGACCTGCTGGGTCTTGTAGGAGATGAGCGGGGTGTACGCAATCACCGTCACATAGATCTGAGGCCGGAACACGTGGTTCGACCCCGGCGCTGAGTACGGCTCTGCGAAACACGAATGGAGGAATGGTTTATTTACATTTTATTTACATCATCATTAGACAAGGCAGTAAGGCCATGTTGATTTGATTATATGGATAACATCCACACACGCATGAATTTTTGGCCGTTTCCAAAAAAAAAAGGTTTCAGCCATACTCTAACTTATGGTTGAAACAGTCAAATTATATATACCGAAAATTGACCCCCAAAAATATTGGAAAACGATACCAATGTTGTGGAATACCAATATCGGACACATACGAAAAAGACGAAAAAGAAAAAGTTTTGAAGACTTGATTACTAGTATTTGCCGTATCATACTCTCGTATTTGCCATATCATAACCACATAGATTTTATAATGAAAGCAACTTTTTTTGCCAGTTACCTGTGAGGCCAGAGAGGCAGTTCTCTAGAGCAGCGAAGACCTCCTCCAGCATGACCCTTCCCCTGCAGCCGTCTACACTGGAGGTGGAGGGGCTCAGGTCCAGGGCAAACACAAACCTGTAACGTCTGGCCAGGAACGTGGCCTGGGGGGGACACAAGGGAAGGTTAGCACTAGTACTGTACATACAGCTTTTAACAAACAAACTTTAGTGCAGCCGTCCACACTGGAGGTGGAGGGGCTCAGGTCCAGGGCAAACACAAACCTGTAACGTCTGGCCAGGAACGTGGCCTGGGGTAGACAGGGGAAGGTTAGCAGTACATACAGCTTTTAACAAAACAAACTTTAGTGCAGCCGTCTACACTGGAGGTGGAGGGGCTCAGGTCCAGGGCAAACACAAACCTGTAACGTCTGGCTAGGAACGTGGCCTGGGGAGGGGGAGGGGACAGAAGGACCAGAATGATTACAAATTCCAGTTATTTATGGCACATAAAGACTGCTTTAGGTTTTCCTTTTTTCCCCGCGCGGTAAGCGAGTGGAACCAGCTGCCAGGCCCAGTGGTGAGGGCACCGACAGCAGAGGCCACGTACCCCACGTACCCCCCTCAGTGATATTCGAGGAGTGGTTCGAGGGTAAACAAAAAGAAGAAGAAAGTGGAACTTCTACTTAGCAGTAGAACTTTTTATCTAGACTACCGGTAGTCTGGTTACCATACTGAACGGATTGGCTTCGGGGGTGTTCCGGCCGGCCAGAGGTTGTTTGGCACCCAATCTGGCTGGCCGGAACACCCCCGAAGCCGACCTGTTGAGTAATAAAGGTAACCAGACTACATGTAGACTGCCGGTAATTGAGGGTATGTGTTACCTGACTCAAGTTTTTCTAGTAGAAGACAAGCCGGTACCAACAGGACATATGTTTGAGAGAAATGAGATTTAAGCAAACAGACCTTTGATGTGTGCACGAGTCTGTAGGAGGTGTTCGGGTCCACAGGTTCCCCCTTCCATCCCTGGGGCAGGACTGACAGGACCTGTAATAAACACACAACAGCACCTTCTAGTGTCAAGCATCAGTACTACAACAAACAGCACCATCTAGTGTCCAACAACAGTACTGCAAGTTATTTAACAGTTATATTATCTCAAAGTTTTTCATTTGCAACACTTGGAACAAACATGGAAGTCTGGTCAAGTTTGATACAGTTGAAACTATATCAATGCACTGCTCATTTGTTAGAAACGTTTACAGCAGTGTGTATAGTACTAGTTTACCTTCACATGCCATTTCAACTAAAACATTGACCTCTATGTACTGTTGTTTTTTTACTACTTTTTTCATTAGTCAATTTAGATATTTGAGTTTGACTTCACAACAATGTTGGCAAGTACATTTGTAAAAATTTCCATAGACTTTTTTCTTTTGAATCTAAAGTGACCAGTCTTATATTTCTCCAGCTTGCCATTATGTACTCATACTTAGCCCACCATAATATGGGCAAGCATCAAAATTCATTTGCGATCAGGGACCCAACAGCAAAACACAGAATCTGCCACGTGCAGCAAATACAGGCGGGAAATAGACTGGAATCTACTTTCTCTTGTGTTTGGGGTACACCATAACTTTGGCTCTATTTTTCCTTACTGGATACTTCCAATGAAAATCTTTCCAAATTTTTAAAAATTTTGAACACACAAAAAAGTGTATGCACACACAGAGGCACATCTACTTAAAGATGCTACCAGCTTACTTGGAGGTCCTTAAGCTCCAGCGTATATGATTCATTCTGAAGGAATTCCAGTTGACATGATAAAAAAAGCAGAAATATTGCATTAATGCACAGCATATTGCACAACATCAAGCTTAAATCTTAATGTATTTGCAAGCAGCAGTAACTAAAAATCAAAGATCTCAAACGTCTGTAAAATATCCTCAAGTTTTTGTGAGTTTCTTGTTTCATTCATTAGACTAAGTGTGAACTTCTCACTGACTCTGTCTAATTTAGAATTCCGACGCAGCAAACACACAAACACCCAAAAAGAGAAGAAAATCAAAGAAGCTGACATCATTCCACACAGTCATTAGATCTAGTGGATGTCTACTGTTTGTGGAACATTTGGTGGCACAACCAAACTTGTACTTGTAACACCAGGCTAGTTCATGACCAAGTGAATGTTTGAAACCACACTGTCACAAGAGCAGCAACTAGTTTCCAACAACAGCACTGCAAGGTGTTTTAACCTTCTTCCTGCTGCCTAACCCCACAAGCAGCTATCTACCTTAGCAGGCTGAAGGTTAAAAACAAACTTGTTTAAAGTTAAAACTTTAGATCCAACACAAAAAGATCTCTCACCTTAATAAGAGCTTTTGACCAGTCACTCTGGTCTTCCTCACTGGGTCAGTCTACAGTGAGTCAGTCTACTGAAGAAGACCAGAGTGACTGGTCGAAAGCTCTAGGTGAGAGAACTTTTTGTGTTGGATCAAAAGTTTTAACTATATAATAAACAAGTAACTACCAACACAGATGAACTTTCATGATAGTATAAAAACAACCTTGCTGTTTTTAACCATCTCCCTGCTGCCTAACCCCATAACCAATACTGATTTGGTGCCAAACGGCTATATATAGATACCTTATATATTAGCAGGCTGAAAGTTAAAAACTTGTTACCTCGAGTTCCCTGTCGGATTCAGGCAGCTGGTCGTCGGGGGTGACCTGGACCATCCTGTGGAGGTTGGAGAAGAACCACTGGGACCGGATGTTGCGGGAGATGCGGTAATCTTTCTTCATCAACAGGAACACTTCACCTGCATCTAACACCTGGGGGGACAGGTGTATTTGTTTGTTAACACCTGCATCAGTATAGCCGGTATAACCGCGTTTCGGCATAACACCGTCACATCACCTTCGCAGGCACGCGGCGCGGCAGCAGCTGGCTACATTACACCGAACGAATTGTTACACCTAACCTTGAACATCTAACTCTAGACATTGTTTAAAGCTATCTAATGACAATGCCCCTACTGTACTTGGTGACAGTGAGTTTCACTCTGCGATAGTTCTAGGAAAGAATGAATTCTTGAACACAATGCATGTGTACTTCATGATCAGCACTTTTGTCAAGCTTTATATCATTAGTATAAGTATAATGTGGTGAATCCATGCTGTGATGAGTTAAAGACAAGACTTCTCACCTTCTGCTCTTCCTTGGGCGTGTCTTCAGCCTCAGCTTCCATCTTGAGTCGAACAGGCAATCAGGTCTGACAACTGAGACTGTGTGGGAGAGTACAATAAACTATGATTCAACGATGTTATAAATAATTCAACAAATTATAACATGTTGTTGTTGTTGTTGTTGTCCTTGTTTAACGTCTAATATATCGCTAGACGTGGTCACTTGGTGCTCGTTTTCGCGTAGTTCGGTTCATATCACAACTATAAAGGCTAAAACGAGGGAAAGATCAGACGTTATTGACATAACTTGTAACTATCCAACACAAGTTGGATTAGTACATGTATAGCTAAACTTATACTATTGGGATGCTGCCAAATGTCTACCTATCGCCCATTAAACTATTCATATTATAAAAGAAGAATCAACAAATATAAAAATCGACAATTTGTTCATATCGATCTCAGTAAAATATATAATTTTATCTAACTGTTAGTGTTACTGTGTTAGCTTCCTACGTGTAACGTTACATCATAAAGTTTGACAGCGTACTACAATAATATGCAGCGGAAATTGGTTCTCTTATTTCGCCAACTGGTATTTTTGATTCTCACCAACCTTACACAGCCGTGGATTTCTGAACTTTACTTTGGTTTTCTCAAAATTCGCGTTTTTCCAGCTTTCCTGCGTATTTTTGTCAGCCTCCCTCCATCTTGCTCAAAAGGTCATGACCTCACGTGTGGACTTTACCACTTCGAACAAAGGATGACGTAAGAACAATATATTTTCGCAAATATATCAAATATATACATAGCCATATTTAAACGTTAGAAAATATAGAAATTTATTTTTATTCGTCTCCTTAACGTTTTTTCTTTGCATGTATATGATTATGAATTATTCTTAAACAAGTACAAAATACACCCCTTTGATTTCGATACTGCCATTTGGTTCCGTCCAAATTATACAGCATGCAAACGTGACAAATTTGATGTAAAATTTTACTTTTAACATTACCAGTTTATATAAAAATCTATGTTTTTAAACAATTTGTTTTACATTTTTATATTTTGATTGAGTTGCTCATTTTATTTCATATTTTGATATCTGTAAGATCGCCGGTGTTAATATAATATAGGTTTATAGCGTTTGTTTGCGGTAGAAGCGGGATTGGCCATCTTTGCGAGGAACAGCGAAAGTAGAAACCGACAAAAATGGTAAGTTATTTCTTTGCACTACGAAAAATGTACGCCCCAGACTGTCGCTTTTAAAACGTTTTTGGCTGTTTTATCTTCTCTGTGACAATTTCTGAGGTAATATTTTGTCGGCTGTCGTTTTGAAAAGCTGATTTTTTTATCGACACATGTGCAACTGCAAGTCATGGGGGAGGGGGGCGGCACTATCCGAACTCACGGTTTGGTTTGAGATTTTTGCACAAAGAAATGTCATTATAAGATTATATGGCAGACTGAAACCGTACGATAAATGGTGAACATTTGAGGAAGGTCTACGAAACGAAATTATGCCAAAATAATTCTAGGGGAAACGTCAATTCTAAAACACAGTCGCCCCCCCCCAAATATACTTGATACTTGATACCGTCTACAGTCGAGTATAATGTACTAGTAACGCGTTACTACTACCTACCAAGCATCTAGAAAAAGAGTTTTTTTTTTTTCATACTCAATCACAGTGGTCTAACTAAGTTTGTGATCGACGCAATATTTCATTACTAAACGCATGTTCACAAAATATGTCATATTATGGTATGTCATATGCATATGCCCAACTGCTTTATGTTTACAAATGTTGATGATGTTCAGAATTAATGTGTTTTTTTTTTCTTCAGTTCCGTAACCAGTATGACAATGATGTCACAGTGTGGAGCCCTCAGGTAGGCAGTCTCACGGTTTCTTTAACAGTGAAAAAAATTATGGTAGTACGTCTTTTATCTAATATGTTAGTACTCTTGTTTGTCCGTATATTTCATCATAATTGTTTGAATTTGCTTCAGGGCTGTCTTTTTATATCTTGCTGTTTTTTACACAGAAACTCAACAGAAACAGGTTGTGAAAAGTCATTGAATGTCACAAAACTGGAGGGTGCATGTTTATCCAACAGGCCTCTTGTTTTTCCGTATGTGTCATTGTTTGTTTGTTTGTTTGTTTATTTGTTTAGGGCCGACTGCACCAGGTGGAGTATGCGATGGAGGCTGTTGTTTATTGTTTGTTTGTTTGTTTGTTTTTTTAGGGCCGACTACATCAGGTGGAGTATGCGATGGAGGCTGTGGTTTATTGTTTGTTTGTTTGTTTGTTTAGGGCCGACTGCACCAGGTGGAGTATGCGATGGAGGCTGTGAAGCAGGGTTCGGCGACGGTGGGGCTCAAGTCCAAAACTCATGCCGTCCTCGTCGCACTTAAGGTGGGCAAACGTCTTAAAGACATTTTACAAGAATGACAATTACCCACGCACAATCTCCAGTTTACCACCCAAACCTGTAAGACTAGCATTTAGATTTGGAGAACTGATCTACACCCCAGAAAATTACAGTTACAGCGTACAAGACCTCACTTTTTGTTTTCAGTTAAAACTTTTGTTCCAACACAAGGCATTGTTCTCACCTAGAGTATTTGACCAGTCACTCTGGTCTTCCTCAGTAGACTGACCCAGTGAGACTTGTCACGTGCCTTCTCTGAAGAGTTTTTGTCTCATTTTCATCTTGTCAATGAGACAGCCATCATAAGAGTTGATGATAAGACTAGAGGATGTCAGAAAAAATGTCCTCAGGAATAAGAACAAGTTTGTTTCTCATTTTTCCCTCGTGTCCCAGAGAGCACCGTCGGAGCTGTCTGACCACCAGCGTAAAGTCATCCCCATCGACGACCACATCGGCATCTCCATCGCTGGACTCACGGCTGACGCAAGGCTCCTCAGGTAAACACTTGTCTGTTTCTATGGCAACCTGGATATTAAGAGGATGTTCTAAAAAAATGTACATTCCAGGTAGCAGCTACATGAAAGTTCAAATAACTGGATAAATACTGTAGAATAGTAGTCTCGTAGAATGAGACCAAGAGACATGCCAAGAAACAGTTACTCAAGCAACTGGATAATATGAATGATATTGGCATGACAGTTGGCCACAGTTATAGACATTTCAGATAGCATTCGCTATCTTTCATCTGTGACTGCTCTTGGCCAGAAACAACGATCCAGATGTTGGTTACCCTTTTCATATTATCATTATGGAAAACATCTGTTGTTGTTAGTCCATGCACAGTTCCAGATGTTGTTCCTGAATGGTGGATGACTGTTATTACATGGCAAACAGCCGGGGTTTGAACTCACAACCTCCAGGTTACAACGAGAGCACTCTACCCGATTGAGCTATTGCCATTTAATGTATTAATTGCCTGTTGTGTGTTGTTTTTCAGTAAGTTGAAACTGCCTGGTCTGTTTTTTACAGTAAGTTCATGCGTACAGAGTGCCTGAACAGCCGGTACGCCTACGAGAGCCCACTGCCGGTATCCAGGCTGGTCTCAACACTCGGCAACAGTATCCTTCCACCAGTCTTCAGTGGTGTTTCTTTTATGGCTAATGTTAGATATGAACAGCTTTAGAAAGTTCAGTAGCTTGTCCCAAGGAGGTGCAATCTACTAAACCTCCTTGCTTCTCCTTATCCTGTAGGACAACTGTTAAGAATTCAGGTAAGTGTTGCTGCTTGCATATCTTATCAGTAACTACTATTACTACTAACTTTTATTTCACTTAGTGGGATCTTATGGCATAATGGTAGAGTGTTCTACTCAGAACCAAGAGGTCCCGAGTTCGAACCCTACTTTGCCACCGATCTTGTGCCCTTGGGAAAGGCACTTTACACGACTTTCCTCACTTCAGGTGAAAACGAGTACTATATTGTCCTCTGTGTTGGTGGCGGCATTAAAATAAGTTGAAAAAACTTGAGTGTGTCGTCATCACATCTTGTGATCACATGTTGAAATTAAAAAAAAAAAAGCTTGCATTTCCTTAACCGCCTGTCCCAGAGATGCAGATTTGCACCCAGCGCTACGGCAGGAGACCTTACGGAGTGGGACTACTGGTGGCTGGATATGATGTAAGCTTCACCTGGTCTAAAAGTCTTCAATGTTCTAGTTGTGAATAAAGAATGAAGTCATGAACGTCTTTCATAAATATTCTAAAAGAGTGACCAGTGTTTTGCCATGATGATAGCATTTACCATGCAGGTAACATCTCAGAGATTAAAATGTATATGTATTAATGTGAAATACCAATGTCAATCTGTAAATGTCAATTCTGAATCAATAAGTTCCCCTAGTTCTACGTTATAAGATGTTAAGGTTACAAAATTGTTTCTCTTATGTTATTTAAGTTACCTTGATTTTGTATTCAATTTGTAACCTGTGTTATTTGATACCTTTGTTAATCTTGAGTTCGTTTTGTTAATGAACTTTGTTTGGGGTTTTCCCCCAAGACCCTTTGAAAATCGCCTATCAGGCGACATGTGTTCTCCTGGATAAATAAATAAACAAAACAAAATACTAGTAGAAAATAATTACATTTTTTTACTACCCCCCCCCCCCCAGGAGATGGGCCCACACATCTACCAGACCTGTCCCTCCTCTAACTACTTTGACTGTAAGTGCATGGCCATCGGCGCACGCTCACAGTCTGCTAGAACTTACCTGGAGAGGCACCTTAATGACTTCTTAGACAGTAAGTAGGAATGTCTTCATCTTACATCTTACATTCTTTGGAAAGGCACTTAACACAACTTTCCGTGCTTAATTGAAAATGAGTATTGTCTGTCCTGTATTTGTTTCTATGTGTGGGACACAACACCAGCAATAGCTGCTTGCTATCACCTGCATTGCACTGTTGCAATTTCAATAAATCAAATCAAATCATCTGTTTGTGTTCCAGGTTCTGTGGATGACCTTGTGCGACACGGTCTGCGCGCTCTGAGAGAAACTCTGCCCAACGAACAGGAGCTCAACACCAAGGTTAGTCAATAAGTTATGTGGTTAACCAGTCACCATAGTCACATAAGAACAAACTCTATGTAGTACATTGTACTCTGGCTGTTAGTTTTAACAGATATAATGTTCACTCTTGCAGAACGTGTCTGTTGCCATTGTTGGGAAGGACACAGACTTCACCCTGTATGATGATGATGACGTCCAACGATTTGTATCCTTTCAAACTTTACTGTACTATCAAGCTTGCTGCAGTCCTCATCAGGACAGTAATACACATATAAACAATGTGTGTGAACAGTTTCATCAGGCTGGTAAGTCACTGAGGAAAGAGACTCTTACAAAACCAAGTCTCTTATTCAGCAGACATTTCGGTGACCATCTGTCACCTTCCTCAGGGTAATTCTGACTGGTTCACATTGCATTGCAGCACAGGTGTCGCTGCTATAGATGCATTCCCAAATGTACAATATTTACATATCTACACATACATTGTAACATTGTGTCGTACATCCAAGTTTGTACTGTTTGATTGTGTTCTATACATGTATGTGCACAATCATATAATTCCTTAACCCTGGTACAGCTAACAGGCATTGAACATGAGAAGAGAGAAAGAGGGGCGGTGAGTTACATTCTTTAAAGTCGCAAATTTTGTCATTTATGCCAAAACTGTGTTCAGTGGCTTGGTTCAACATCTATGGCAGGGATATTTCCTCTAGGCCACATCAATTTATTTTTCTGTTTCACCAATCAAAATAAGCTTGGCTGGAAAAACAGTACGAAAACAAAGCCTTATAACCAGGTTTATGCCTAGGTGGTCTCATTTTTATTGAGTAAAAACAGTCATAGTCAAGTCTCTTTTTATTTCAAAATCCTATAATTTCATCATGGGGATAAAATGTAATAAATTGATGTGAATTCAAGTTCTTTTTCAAGATATAATCTGTATCTGTAATGAAAACATTCCATGATCCCAAAATTACACGTCGCCAAATTGTTTTTTAACGCCACTCTTGTTTACCCCAATGTTAGCCCGCGGCGCCCATGGATGTGGCAGAGGGCCAGGAGGGACCCGCGGCGGACGCGCCCCAGGACCCACAGCCTGAGGGACCCGCGGCCATGGAACACTAGAGCTCTATCAACTTACGATTCAACTAGGACGGTTATAGAAATGATAAAACATCGCTTCATGTTGGTTATACCTTTGTATAAGATCACGTTTCTTCAAAAGAACAAATTTTCATCTGAAAATAATACACCTAACCTTTCTAAAAGTAAACATAGACCTGTCTTTCATGACCTTTGATATTAGTTTGGGATGTTTTGCATAATATTTGCTAAATAGCATTTTTGCTAATTAGCAATTTTTTCAATGATATGCAACCAACTGGTGGAGACCACAAGTGTAAATGTAGATGTTGGATAATTCAATGGTCAGTCTGTCTTGACTTAATGTAGTAATCAACTACACATATAGGTACTCACATTGCGACCATGTGCATTTTGGTGAAGTTATAAGAACATGCAAAAATACATCATAAACCTTTGCTCACAAGAGTTGAATATGCGCTCTAATATGACTAAGACTCAAAAGGTTGAAAAATAAAAGACAATAGGCCTGATAACTTCAGTTTTTTGTCAAGACATTATTTGCTGCTTAATTGAACCCAATTTGTCGCCATACAATAGAAAAGATGTACTTTTAACTCCCAGCTTTTGTTCAGAGAAAAAGGTGGCTAATTTAGTGGAAAAGTCAGCCGGCACCAGCAAGGTAACTACATTGTACCCCAGTTTAATTGCTCGCAATAATAGCCATACATGACTCCACTTTACCTCCATATCATGGGACAGACGTGGTGACGAGATTTGTAAAAAGGGGAAACGGTGTTTGCGTGACAAGGAAGACTTATTAAGCATAATTAGACCTTTTCAGGATCAGAACACGAAAATACAATGGTGTTGGGTGTGTACCAGAGCAGCTTTTTGTAACCCCTGCTTCTATTGTGCCTCACTCTGTGAGTCCTAGCCTCTACCAGGCAAACTGTTCTCTCCCAGCAGACCAACTCCCCTGGCATGCTATCTATCTATTTGGCCGATTTCTACTCTTTTCAGCCGCCTCCCGAAGCCTGGTAGAGACTAATAAACCACGACTATCATATCATTTCTCATACGACCTCTAAACTCTCTAGACTTCAAAGAGTTGAAGGACTTAGTAAGCCGACGAAACTCAAACTTAAGGTACTATTGTACAGAACCGGTTTGATGCAAGCAGATATCCCTGGTGTTAGCCGCACACATGACTATCTGGGACATTTACTAAAGCCCGACTTACCTTAGATAATAAAGGCTGGAGTTACACAATGTAGGGATATAGACCCTGCCTACTTGGTGCCTTTTGCAATTGCCGCAAATCCCCTTCATACAAATGTGTATGTTACTGATACAGGTCATTGCATGTCGGCGGCGTCTTCAATTGCTTGTTAATTGGACTACACAAACTACACAAAAGTTGTCCTCCCCGCAACAATTACCAAGGCCACTACACAAACTGGCGGTATCAAAAAGTTAGAAAGGGTTTGTTGTGTAACCAAGAGTTCTGAATAACTAACTGTTCAGTTGTATCCAGAACCGTGCGTTATCCAGAGCCATGTTCAAACACGGCTCTGGATAGTCCACGCGTATCCAGAACCGTGCCTGGGGCAAATCTTCGTTCTCAGATACGCGGAGACTATCCAAAACCGTGCCTGATCCTCTTTCTTTCAGGCATAGAACTAGATAGGTATGGTTCTGGCCTATGGATACAAGACTTACCGTTTTCAACGTGTCATTTTGGTCGGCCAGTTGACAAGCGAAGGAACAATTCTAAGGTTTTCTTAAGTTTAGACAAAGTTTCTTTGTTTTCTTTACCCTGGCTAGCAGTCCAGTGTTAGTTCTGCTAGGACACGGTCAGAAACTCCGCCCCAGTTCTGCCCTTCACGGCAGTTTCAACATAAACCACCTGGTCCAACATCGGACTGTAAACATACTTTAACCTCTCTGTCTGATCCTGAACCATGTCTGTTCTTACTTTTTCACGAAGAGGGGAGAAGTAGAGAAATTGTCCAAATAGAGTGATAGCATGCCAGGGGAATTGGTCTGCTGGAGAGAACAGTTTGCCAACTCCCCTGGCATGTTATTTCTCAATTTGGCCGATTTCTACTCTTTCCAGCCGCCTCCCCAAGCCTGGTAGAGGCTTCTGCACATGAGGCTAGGTCCTTACGTACATAATGGCCCTGCGCGGTTCCGAGTGAGTGAACAGCCGTTATAGTACATCTCTCTGACAACTCGCGTCAACACACCCTGCAGCAGACCGGTACTGCCAGTACTGGTCACCGCAGCGCCAAACTCGAACACAACAAAGAAAACTCGCCACCGTCCCAGGAGGAAAGCTTAACACGGCAGTTTTCACTTTCAGCGGTCATGCCGACCTGGGAGCGCTTGTAAGGAGAAAGTGGACTGATCTTAAGGTGTGTTTTTAAGGTGCAGACCGTCTTGAGAAGGGAAAAGACTTGACCAGGTGTTTACAAAGTGTGTGAGTGCGAAGCTGGTACTTAAGTAAACCTCGGGGACTTAAAGTGAGGCTTACCTGTCGATCTTCGCGGCGTTACCTGTGTTAGTTTACCTGTGTGAGGTGTGGTTACCTGTTCTTAAGGTATGGATACGGGCCGGACGTGACAAAGACCACATTCTCTGGGGTTTTCTACAGAGACAACGAGAGAGAGAGAAACATCGCGACGAAACTTTCCTGCTTTTTCTACACAGCCGAACACGAACAGTCAATCGTGCGGACTATAATTTGGACGACCAGGAAAGTGTTCATTTTCTCGCCTTGTAATGCTTAGATACTCACTACTACTGAACTTCCTAAGATCGCGTTAAAGACCTCCTTCTTGCAAATGGTGAGTCCGATTTTGAGGGAAGACGTCTTCTTAATTCAGCCAAGCATCTTGTCTAGACCGAGACATGCGAAGACAGGCCGTGGCGGCTTAAGTACGTTCCCGAGCAGACTGACTCAGAAATGTACCATAAATCACTTTACAAGCGTCAGACTCTGCAGTACTAGTGATTAACGACATTTCCTCACAACTGACGTCCGAAATGTCCGGTGTGTGAAAACTAATGATGGAGAGGGGGTCTCAAGCTGGTAGGACGACTTCGGCAAAAACAGAAGCGGCCAGGTCGGACTGTGGGAGCAGAACTTCTGTCACAAGGCATCGTGCTGAAGCTAAGACAGCGGAGTCACCGAAACAAAACCAGACGCAGAGAGAAATACGCAATGGTGAGGGAGAAGTTGCAAAGAACTTTGCCGCTCTGAGGAGAAATTCTGCGGGTACGGAAGCGTCTGTACATGCAGGTCGGGAGAGAAATACGGGAAAGTTTACCCGGACCGAGAAAACAGATTCTACGGAACAATGCGGGAAGCCAAGCGGCGAGGGGAGGGCTGGAAAGAAGTCTGCTACTGAGAGAAATGCGTTGGTGGGAGAACTTGTTAAGGGTGGTGCTACAAGAAACTCCAACACTGCAACGAGAAGAGAACTTTACAAAACCAGGGATAGAACATCACCGAGAAGAACGATTTCTCCTAGCTGTACCCAGGGTGAGCCGTTGAGAGACGTGCCTACAGACGGTGTGAGGGCTAAAAAGAACTCTACTGCCACTGAAAGAAAGGGGTCGGTGGGAGAACATGTTAAGGGTGGTGCTACAAGAAACTCCACCACTGCAAAGAGAAGAGAACATTTGAAAACCAGGGATACAACATCTCCAAGAAGAACGATTTCTCCTAGCTATAGCCAGAGTGAGCGGCTAAGAGACTTAACTAGAGAAGGTGTAAGCTGGAGAGAATACTTACCTGTGATTTTTCACCTGTATGAGATCCACCTGAGCCCGTCATTCAGAGCAGCCGCCGTGCCGCCTCCGCCACGGGACAACAGCACAGAACAGGGATATAAGGTAAGGGATGGGCTTATATCTACATGTGTTCATCGGGTTGCTGTTTTCCGTTGGTTGATGTTTTCGTAAGAGTTTTGCACAGTTTATTCATATTTCTTGCGTAGGCTTCTTTGTTAGTTTCTTTGTTGACTTTTGGAAAAATATAAAATGCTGGTATGAACAATATATAATATATATATATATATATATATATATATATATATATATATATATATATATATATATGTGTATTTTATATATATATTATTATTATATATTAACCGCGCTTCCACGTTCTGATTTGTTAATTATTTTGCTTGAACATTGTCCTTATTTAAGCCCCGATAACAGAAACGGAATTTCCATTTGGTATTTCTCGACTTTTGAATCCGTCAAGCATATGCCTCTCTTCAACGTGACCCAATTTTTATCAAGTGTGAAAATTTGCCCTCCCCGAAATTTGACATTTCATTTTGTGGCTGAAGTAAGCACACCGTATGTTTCCCTAAGCCTGACGTTGTTGTTGTGATCTTGTATACACCACACAACGGCACCACTGTCACACGTATCCACAATACTTACTCGCAACCCGGGAACACCTGCTACAGGCTTGTTTGACTTCTTTCTTTGTTGATGATTCCGTCTCCCCTTTGCTTGGGTATTTTGTACCATTTGCAGACATAGCTTGGCTAGCACAGACCAGGTGTATCTATATATAGACAGGCTACAAACCTAGCAACAACGCCATATGTCTTTATCCCGACTAACCAATTTTAACCACCTGTTTTTCACTTTTGACAATAGTTTCTCTATTCTTTCCCTGCACTATCATTACATTTTATTTATAATCAAAATAGTGCTCTTTCAGGAACTTGTACTAAACTTGCTTTACAATTTGCTTTTTTGCACTTAACAAAAACGACCCAACAAATTACTAGCCTGGGTTCCAGACCCATAGCACACTTAGACCAGGCCCAAAGAATCTAGTGCACACTGGATAACTTTGAGCCCAGGCACATAGGCTAACAATTTGCGTTTTTCTTGGTTGAGTTCATTCAGACCTTGATCCGTTTTCTTTATTTTTTTATCATACTACTGTAATTCCCTATGTTTTCACTGTACTGTTATGTTCACTGTTTTCACTGTCACTTGTGTACCGTGAACATTAAGTGAATTACAGTGTTTTCCGGTTTTTTCCCAGCTGTTACGGTTCCTAGACGACGGGTTCCGGACCGAGAGAATCCGCCGGTCGTCCTTCGAGCCTGCCGAGGGCCCGTGCCTTCCCGCACCGGACGCCCAGGTGCCCAACCGCCGGTGGAGCATGGCCGTGCCCGCCGCCGGGCAGCTGGACCCGCACGGTGGCTCGCACGTGCCGGACACGGGCCCTGGGTACCTCATCACCCCGGCTCTTCTTAGCAGGCTCCAGCGGCTGCACCAGTCCACATCCCGCGGGGGTGGAAGCGACGGCGCCCGAAGGCTCTCCACGCTCTCCTCGGTATCGGGAGGGTCGGAGTCGGACAGTTTTGGCGCTAGCGCTCCCGAAACCGACAACGAAAATTCGAAGTCCCGGGGGAGCTCGGTGAAAGAGTCGACGGCGGCGGGATCGAGCTTCGCGTCCCGAAGACAGTCCGTGTCGTCCTCGCTGGTCGGCACGGTCTCGAGAAGACCTTCTGTAACATCCTCGATGCTGGGTTCGCCCTCTCGCCGTGGCTCCGTTGTTGGCCCCACGGGGCTCGGGTCTCCGCCTCGCCGAGGGTCGCTCGCTGGGCCGGCGGGGCTGGGTCCACCTCCCCGCCGAGGATCTTTCGTAGCGCCTGCGGTGAACGGTTCCGTGTCGCCACGGGGTTCGCTGGTGGGCCATGCCCTGTACGAGGAACCATACCTGAACCCTGTAGATGCTACTTCTAGTTCTACTTCTGATCATGTCGAGAAAATTCCACCTGTTCTAATCCGGAGTAGACGGGGATCCGCCGGATCTAGGACCAGTTCCGGATCAAATTCCGGGTCGCGAGTGCAAGATTCCGTCATCTCTGTTACATCCGGATCCACCGACCAGCTACAAACTCTCCTTATAAGGCAAACATCCGGATTCGGGTCGACGGAACAAGTGCAGACTTTGGACGTGGGTGACAATTCCGGATGTGATCCGGACCCACCGCAAAAAGTTCCGGTTTCCGTCGCAAGAACAGGCCGGATTATGACCAAACTGTCCACGGGACCCCCCGCAAGGAGGTCCAGACGGGCCTCACTTTTCTACTGAAAGTTCACGTTCGTGTCTCATGTTCAACCTTAAAAAAAAGCCTCCGTAGCAGGCTTATAGAACTAAAGGGTTTGGTGGTCTTCGGCTGTTTTCTGATTAGCCCAGTTAAAAAAAAACGAGGGTAATTCAACCAGGCCGGCTATGCTGTCTATATACCATCAGAAAATAGCACATAAAAGCTCCCAAAGACCATGAAGACCCCCCCAAAACCCCAGTGTTTGGCATGCTATGGAGGCTATGAAAAGGCGAAATGAAGACGCAGATACTACAAGCACTCCACTGGAAATTTCGTTTTTCAAGATGTTGCATTTTGTTTGGCGAAAGGACTTCGATCGGGACAATCCATCTACAACAGAAAGAAAGCGGACAGAAGATGGATCATTTGATCAATGGTTGACAGAAATTCGACCGAAGAAGATTGAAGATAATACCATTAAATTGTTTGTTTTGTAGTTTGTTTGTAACAGGTGTTGTAAATCCTTCAAACTAAAGCTTTCAGACATGGCGACTTGAGTCAGTGGAAGGTTACGATCATTCTACACGAATGTGATTTTGGGGATAGATATTGCTGCTATAATAAAGAGCTGGCGTTTGAGTTCTATATCATCAAGTTACTGTCTCTACAGTTTCTATTGTGTATTTCCTGCTACTATGTACTATGCTGTCTCTAGGCGTTTTTTCTTGAACAGATCAACAACAGGAATTCGAAGCTGACAGAAGATGCATCATTTGATAAGTGCCGTAACTTAAAGACTCGGCTTAAGAAGATTGAAGACGATCTCAGCTTGTTTGTTTTGTTGTTTGTTTGTAACAGGTGTTGTAAATCTTTCAAACTACAGCTTTCAGACAATTGACTTGAGTCAGTGGCAGGTTACGATCATTCTACACGAATGTGATTTTGAATATAGATATTGCTGCTATAAAACGCTTGCGTTTGAGTTCTATAACATCAAGTTACTGTTTCTATCGTGCATTTGCTGCTACTATGTACTATGCTGTCTTTAGGCGTTTTTTCTTGAACAGATCAGCAACAGAAGCAGACAGAAGATGCATCATTTGATAAGTGGCTGACAGGAACGTAACTTAAAGACTCGGCTTAAGAAGATTGAAGACGATCTCAGCTTGTTTAGTTGTTTGTTTGTTTGTAACAGGTGTAGTAAATACTTCAAACTACACTTTCCAAACATGGCGACTTGAGTCAGTGGAAGGTTACGATCATTCTACACGAATGTGATTTTGAGTATAGATATTGCTGCTGAAAAAATCTGGCTTTTGAGTTCTCTATCGTTGAATTACTGTTTCTATTGTGTATTTGCTGCTACTATGTACTTTGCTGTCTTTAGGCGTTTTTTCTTAAACAGATCAGCAACAGAAGCTGGCAGAAGATGCATCATTTGATAAGTCGCTGTCAGAAGCGTAACTTAAAGACTCGGCTTAAGAAGATTGAAGACGATCTCAGATTGTTTGTTTCGTTGTTTGTACCAGATGTTATAAATCCTTCAAACTACACTTTCCAAACATGGCGACTTGAGTCAGTGGAAGGTTACGATCATTCTACACGAATGTGATTTTTAGTATAGATATTGCTGCTAAAAACGCGTGCGTTTGAGTTCTATAGCGCCAAGTTACTGTTTCTATCATGTATTTGCTGCTACTATTATACTGTCTTCAGGCGTTTTTTTCTCTTGAACAGATCTCTTGAACAGATAGTACAGTTGTGATAAGAAAGGTCTTAACAAAGTACAGTACTGTTGTATAGCAATGGATTTTACTGGCACGCATTGAGACCATGATACAACATGCAAACTTTCTATTTTCGCAGTGAAATATTTCACTATAGTTTCCGTGTCATCTTTGTAGCTGTAAGGAGTTGAAACTCAGAATTTGTGTTATTTGAATACCCTGCCTCTTTACAACTAAGTCAAAAGAGTCCAATTACATCAAACAAAAGTATACGAATGCGTTTTTCTCGATCTGTATTTCCCGTTGCCAGGTAACGACACACGTACCAGCAGTGCGGTTCCAGATGACCGCACGCGCGCGCCCCCAGGCGGTTGCAATTATCCCTGCAATTACCATACCATAAACATGTGATGGATCAACTTATCAACAGACATACCTGCCCAATCACTCGGCTCAGCGGAGGTCTTTCCAGCCCGTTCGCACCACACCTAGCCTCTACCAGGCTTCGGGAGGCGGCTGGAATCTAGCCTCTACCAGGCTTCGGGAGGCGGCTGGAATCTAGCCTCTACCAGGCTTCGGGAGGCGGCTGGATTCTAGCCTCTACCAGGCTTCCGGAGGCGGCTGGATTCTAGCCTCTACCAGGCTTCCGGAGGCGGCTGGAATCTAGCCTCTACCAGGCTTGGGGAGGCGGCTGGAAAGAGTAGAAATAGACCAAAAAGAGATGTAAGAAACAGGAGCGAGCAGTAGAAACAGATAAAAACCCTTCTGGTCCCGGTTCGATAACATGCCGAGGGAGTTGGTCCGCTAGAGAGTGCGGCAAAATGTACTCTCTAGTGGACCAACTCCCCGGCATGTTATCTCTCTCTATTTAGCACATTTCTACTCTTTCCAGCCGTCTCCCGAAGCCTGGTAGAGGCTATGCCGCACCGGCCTTTTCTGTCTACCAGATAAAAGATTTTTAAATCTCTAAATTACTCTTTCGTAATGCAGCCGACACATAAGCGTGGTTTTCAAGACGTGATAATTGTCTAGTGACGCTTGTTGGATGTGTCGATCTATTATACACGTATCTTAAGTGAAATCTGATCACTCTTCACACGTATTCACCCAAGAAAAATTCCTGGTATGTCGCAATGAATGTAAAAACTCCTTTTGCAGGCTGAATAAATAGTAGAAATCGGCCTAAAAAGGGGATATAATTGGCCAGAGAAGTTTCCCGGGCATAGAACGGCCAACTGGACCCTCTTTGGTCGGCTACCTTCTCTGGCCAATTATATCCCCCCTTTCAGGCCGATTTCTACCATTTATTCAGCCTGCAAAAGGAGTCTGGTGGGGACTAGAATTTTCCCACGGGTTAGAATTGTTCCCCCGATCACCGGGAGGCGCCGATGTGATCGATGGGTTCATTCATCGATAATCTGTGACGATCCATCAGTCCGGTGTCGCCTGCATTTCGCATGTCGGCAGATTTGACCCCCCCCCCCCGTAATGACATGTTGTCACTTTTACCGACTTCGCTATCTACAAACTACATGAATTTACTCTCCAAGCAGAGGTTTTGGGTTAAGTTGGCGTGTTTTTAGGCTTTTTTGATCGGGGTTTCTTTTTTGCACTGTATTTTTTTTTCACCCAACCCCAAAAATTCCAGTGCAAGAAAGAAACCCTGATAAAAAGGCCTAAAACATGCCAAAAATAACCCAAAACCCCAAACCTCTGCTTGGAGAGTAGCACACATAACTAACTCATGATTTTTGTGATTGGGTATGAATTTCCAATAAGGTCATCATTAACAAGATCAAATCATCAAATTTTCCCTTATGATATATTTTCAATGCAAAGAACGTTTTTATTAATTATTTTTGACCCAACAATCTTCACAAAGTTACGAAAATCAAACCCAGCCCTATACACATGTAGCTAGTACATGTAACTACAGCAACTAGACTATCTTCGTGTCCCAATTTTTACATGAAATCCTATCTGTTCTATAGAGAGGAGTAACAAAGTACACAAAGACAGTGTCTTAAGTCTGGATAAGTGTACCCTAAGCTGTGCGGATATCATTACAACGAGCCCCGAGCAGAACCTTTTGTGTATCTTTGCTAGGATTAAACCGTGTTCACGCTATTGTAACTTTTCTTTGCAAATGCATTTCTATTTTGATAACACCGCCCAATTCATGAATCTCGTAGATCGTGCATTTCATACCTCACTGCCTATATGTTTTGTACATAAAAGAAATCTAACCCAAAAATAACTATATCAGAGGTAGCATAGTAGTATTTATGGTAATTTTTACTGTTTACTATTATTAATAACATTTCCATTTACAATGTTTTGAAGTTGTAATTAGCTTTGGGCACGAATTTGCAGTAATGTTTGTAATATCAGTGTCAAATGGCTCAAGACAGCTCGCAATCTTTTCCCATCAGCCCATGTTCAAGATCGGACCTGGGGGAAAGTGCTCGCAATCAAGGGGGGTCCGGGGGCAAATTTTAAGCAATTTCATGCATTTTGAGAGGCAAATCATGGGGTTGAGAGTGGTTGTTGGTTGCCCTTCGGATGTTTTTATATTTTTTTCTCAAGATTTTTGTCAATTTTGTCCATCAAGTTTGACGGATTGGTTTTAAAATTTTTCCATCACACGCCACAAAGTTCCTGCAATTAATTGAAAAACAGGTGCTGGCTAGAGCCCTGTGATGTCATCTTTAGATATTGATGAAGATGTTGTTCCAGTAGAGGTATAATTCGAAGACGATGGTCTACAATGGTCGCTAATGAAAACCCACGGCTGTCCTTTCCTGTTTTTGTTTGAATGATGTTTGTATTTCTGTGTGTTTCTGTTTACTTGTCTTTTTAATCAATCGTTTGTAAAAATCAAATGCACAATTCAGGGGTGCGTTAGTCAATCCCTGCTTTTGTATGATTCTGTCCCTTTGAATTTGAATAAATTGAATCTTCAGATATTGATGAAGATGTTGTTCCAGTAGAGGTACGAAGCAAACACAATGGTCCAGAGGTTGGAGCCGAACAGGTTCATGAAGAGCAGGTTGCCATGGTTACGGTGTTGGATCTTCCAGCTGAAGGGGAGGTACTTCTGAAACACGCCGTGACACAGGTACACCGAGATGGAGTTCATACCTGCACAGGTAAGAAAGTCAAGACTAGAAACCTATCTAGACGGTTTTGGCCAATAAAATCACATTAATGACGTCATAATGACGTCATATTACGTCATAACGACATAAATATTGTAATTATGATAATGTTTACTAGTACACCATCCTCTGAAAATTTGGTGGTCATACAACATACCGTTTTGAGGGGGGGGGGTCGAATTAGTCCCACCAAGCCCAAAAAAGCCCGGTCTAGATAGGTAACATTTGCAAAGCAAATACATAGTGTTTAGCTTCGCATATGGTCTGCTCTGTTAATTCTTGATCAAACATATCCATATACTAAGTATATTGTCAGACAGGAGTCTGAATCCCTCCTGCTATAATATGTCAACATGATGTAACCCAACACCAGTTACCATGGTGACAGATGTCTGGTTCAGGTCGTTGACCTTATTTCTTTGGAGAAGAAGAAGAAGAGGAAACAGAGCAAAAAACAATATGTGTTCCTTCTGCAAAGGTTAAAAGTTAGACATCCAGGTAAAGGTACCCCACTGATTTTTCCATTCAAACTCTACTACTGGATGTGACATGCAAGAAACAAACAAACAAACAAACAAACAGCTGAACACACCTGCCATGAAGAAGGGGAACCCTGTCCACCACCTTCTGACGTCCACTAGGAAGTAGTACAAGGACAGCAGGAGGAATGCCATGGAGGCCAGAGACAGGACAAAGGTCAGCGACCTGCAGGGTGAGAAAAAACAGCTGTTAGATACTAGTATAGCCATGACGAGGGATTGTTGTAGCCAAAACTATGTTTTAGCTACAAACATGTGTGTCTCGAGCTTTTAATGTCTGAATGGGTTAGGGTTAGGATCAGACACCGTTCTAGATAGTCCATGCGTATCCTGAACTGTGCCTGGGGCAAATATGTTCTTGGATACGCGGAGACTATCCAGAACTGTGCTTGATCCTTAAGCCCTAACCCATTCAGGCTGTTACATGTAGATATAGAGGTAACCACCAGAGGAGAGATTGTTGCAGTCAGAACCAAGTCTGAGCACAGTTCTGGATACACCATACATTTACAGAACTGTGCAAATTGGGCAAATCTTTTCCTTGGAATCGTAGGATAAGCAGAAACTTTCCATTCCTGATCCTTAAACCCTAACCCATTCCAGCAAAGAAGTACATAAGCATGTTCTGGATACAATAGGTAACTCCCAGTCTGTTTTAGTATTTACTAGTATACAAAATATATCAAGCAACTGGATAAATCATATGAAGGGTCAGACATTTCAGAAAACATCCACTACTTTTAATCAGTGACTGACTTGTTCTGATCTTACCAGAGGTTTTTGTTGATGGGAATCCAGCCACCATTTTGCCGACCTTGACACAGCAGAATCGCCAACAGACCCTGAATAGAACAGGCACAAAACATGGCAGAATTAGTTAAATGTTAGTAACATGATGCACTCAAAGAGGAAAGAACAGTTATCCTCAAGAATGTAGGCTATAAGATTACAGCTGGTCCAACACTCCTAGTCAAGACTGATCCTGATGCCATATGAATGAGTAAAGAAAATTTTTGAATGAATGAATGAGTGAATGGATGGATTGATGAATAGATGGATGGATGAATGAATGAGTGAGTGAGTGAGTGAGTGAATGAGTGAGTGAGTGAGTGAATGAATGAGAGAGTGAGTGAATGAATGAATGAAGGAACGAATGAACAAAGGAACGAATGAATGAATGAGTGAATGAATGACTCGTACCAGTACGACTCCCCAGATGACCCAGCGGACCAGCCGGCTGCCATGGTCCTTGTAGGCCAGAAGAATTTTTCCCGCCTGACAAAAAAAGGAGAACAAAACTTTTATTTCACGAACTGAGAATACATGTACATACACGTCCATAATACATTACACAGATTGACAATGTTACTTTTTCCATCATGTTCAGCTTCAACGCATCTTTGTGCAGCAATTGAAACAGGTTCAAGTGAATTAGTAGGCCTCTAATGACCTTGAATGCATGTCATCAGCCAAAGGTCAACTAATTTTACCCCCTCTAAACCCAATTTCCAGTCACTTCCATCTGCAGTTACAATTCTTATTAACAACCTAAAAAAAATCATGATATTCTTAACATCCAGATACTGACAAGTGTTAATGTTTGTCACCGTTTCTGACTCGATACAAAAGTTTTTGCACCCACCTGGAGACCGAGGAAGGTCATGAAGATGGAGGTCAATGAACCCAGAACTCCTTCCGGGTCATAGTTCACCCGAATCTGGTACTCATGCTAAAAAATAAGAATTGGTATGAATTATGGCAACTTGATAGAACATTACCAGAACATTTTGCCATTTGCCTTAAAAGGAAATTACAAATGATACATTCAAATTTTAATCAATGAAATCTTCATTTTCGAAGTTTCCCATCACAAAGATATTTTGAAATCTTCACAGTGTAACAATGTAATCAGAATGAAGATATCTACAACATAAAGTTTGGTGAGTTAAATCTTAAACCTTTGGAGTTTCATCATCGTAGATGTGGTCCTGGGTGAGCAGCCAGTTGTCAACCTGCAGAGCTGCGCCCCCCGTGCAATTGGAATGGTCCAAATCTGACAGTCCAGCTGCTCCCAAGTACCCACTGGGGAGGGAGGGATGGAAGGAAGGGAATGAAAGAGGAGAAAAGAAACACATAATTCAAACATCTTTTACATAAATTACCATGTATTTGCTTTTCTACTATCCTCCCTTTGATCATTATCACAATCAAGCATTTATATCATTCTCTTATAGAGCCCGTTCACATTTTTTGAAAAGAATGGATCCGAAAAATATTGGCCTTCACACAACGGAAGTTAAATCCTGGCCACTCAAACATGTTCAAAGAGGTGTTCTCTATATTGCCATCAAGATTCCATGCTGTACAAACTTTTTGAGTTCCTTTCTTTGCGGCTCTGGCGCTTTCAAGATGGCGGGCTCTGATCACGTGACACCTTAATCAATTTCTGAGCGCGATGCGCGATGCAATCGGGATCAGTGAAAAGCGGTGTGAACGCACAGGTCGATCGGGATTGATGAATTTCTGATCGGGATCGGCGCTCAATCCGGACTCATTTTTTGAATGTGAACGGGGTCATAATGTTATCCCTACTCCAAACCATTAAGGAACAATCATAAAATGTTTTCTCTGCTTACGTGGGGCAGCCGGGAACAGGCATGAGGAAGGTGAGGCAGGTGTGCACGACCAGCAGACAGACCACGAACAGCCACTGCTTCCAGTACGGCAACAGGTCACGCACACGGGACTGAAAGTCAATCTACAGAAGAAGAAGATAAGAATTGGCCCCTATCTGTTAATATGGCAAACGTCGATGAAGATTAGACATCCAGGTGATAAGATATGCAAAAAAACAGTTACTCAAGCAACTGGAGATGATTTGGGAAACGGTCAGACGTTTCAGGTTGCATCCACTAGCTTTCGTCAGTCACTGAATCATCTGACCGTTTCCAAAATCATATCCAGTTGCTTGAGTAACTGCTTTTTGGAATATGGCATAAGTTTCATTACGTCGTCATGTGACTGTGAACGGCCAATAGGTACACACCGGCGCGGTGGTGTCCTCCGGTTCCCCGACCTTGATGTGGAGAAGCATCATGGTGGACACGGCGAAATACGACACCGCGAACCGCTGCAGTACACCGGGGATCCGGATCTTGTACCAGTCGTCCGCTGCGAATAAAAAATTCAAGAAACACTTTGAAAAGGTCATCCAATGTGGTTGCATGTTGTTTCCTCCCTTCCTTCCTTCAATTTTTATCCAGATTTTTTCCGCAACAAAATTACATCCTTTTATTTTACTTTATAGTCCAGTGATTCTCCCCTCACACAACCTCTAACAATGGACAGCCCCCATACTTATGGCTGTTAACAATGAACAATCCCTAAATAGACCCCCTCCGTTCTTACAACTGTTAACAATAGTCCCTATAAAGATGCCCCTCTCCATACATATTAACAAATTAACAATGAACAGTCCCTATATAGACACCAGATCCCCCATACGTGTTAACAATGAACAGTCCCTATAGAGACACCCCCTCCCCCTACTTACGGCTGTTAACAATGAATAGTCCCAGCAGGAACAGCGTGATTGTCCTCCGCACGACCTTGAGGAAGATGGTGACCTTGGGCGTGGCCTTGCGCTGGAGCCCGCGGAACGACAGCGCCGTGCTCGTTCCCATGATCCACATGAACCTGCCAACACATGACCTTTGACATTAGGTCATGACCTCTGACATCAGGTCATTGCAGAGTTAAAGTTCAAGAACCATTCGTTATTGGATGTCAGTCGAGTTCAAATCTAAGGTGGACCTTGGCTATGCGTTCAAAGCTCGTGATTTGATAGTCAAGTTTTAATAGATATTGTGTGCAATAAACTTGAAGAGTCCCAGACAGTCAAAAGTAACAAACATGTCAGTTACCATGGAAAGACGAGGTCGGCCACGGTGATACCTGAAAATACAGGGGAAAACATTCCGATTCAGATGGATGTGAGGTATCGAGCCCATAAAACTATGAGGTGTCAGAGCTTCTGTTATATAATGAACAATTTGTGTTAACTTTGTACATGGAGGGAGAGAAGTTTTAAAATAGAAATCAAAGCATGAGGCTCCTCCTAAAAGTTGAGATTTTGGGGAAAGTTGCGGGCGTCTCACCGTTCCAGACGGAGTGGTCGAAGAACCAGTAGCCTCCTCCTCCATAGTTCACAAACGCCATGATGCATAGGCACATCCTGAAACAGTGTCTCATGCTGTTACCATGGAAACTGGGAACCATGGAAACTGGGTACCATGGAAACTGGGTACCATGGCAACTAGGTACCATGGCAACTGGCTACCAAGGTAACTGGGTACCATGGCAACTGGGAACCATGGCAACCAGGTAGCATAGCAACCGGTACCATGGCAACCGGGTACCATGGCAACTGGGTACCATGGCAACTGGGTACCATGGCAACTGGATACCATGGCAACTGGGTACCATGGCAACTGGGTATCATGGCAACTGGGTACCATGGCAACTGGGTACCATGGCAACTGGGTACCATGGAAACTCTGGCAAGTCAGTACCATCGTAACAAGGGACTGGGATTATCAACTATCCAATTGTCAATGAATGAAAGAAAAAAACAAAGAAAATCTTAACTAGACAAAAATAAAGTACCCCCTGAAGGTGTCCAGTGACTTGAGACGTCTTGGTTTGGACGCAGACTCTGACTTCTTAGTGTCCGGATTATTGTGCCGACCCTGGGTTTGCCAGCGAACCAAACAACAAACAAACGTCATTGTTGATGACAAAATACCAATTAAGCCTCTTGTTCAGTCTTGTTCAGAAACTTTATTTCTGTTTTCAATATCTCTGTATCGGTCTTCTAAGCTAAGGCCATGTTGATTTGATTATATAGATTATATTCCACGTGCGCATGAATTTTCGTCTGTTTCCAAAAAAAGTTTTCGACCATACAGTGAATCGTACAAAGCAACTGCAAAATTAGCATTACAACTACATTTATATGCTAATATATGCAAATATATGCAGAATGGCCTAAGCTACTAAACGTAGTTCAGACTTACCGTGTTGATCAGCAGATGTCTCATCTCATCGTTGTCTTCGCTGAACTTCTTCCTGAAAGGATATAGAAAAGTTGTTTAAAGACTATCTCAGCACCTGAGGTAATGGCCAAGACATGTAGAGTGGGGTCGTGTGGTGCAACGGTAGAGTGTTTGGCTCAGACCCAAGAGGTCCCGGGTTCGAATCCTGTTATATTACATGAACGGTATTTAGAAAAAGTCTGTACCTGTAGAAATATGACCCGACCAGCCACAGGCAGCCCAGCGCAGCATACACACAGAATGCAACAAGAATGGCTGCAGGAGGAACCAAGGGGAAAATTATTTATCGACACAAAACTAACAACATTCTTCCAGCAAACCAAGTGTTTTAACAAACAGTTGAGGATGGATCCTGAAAAACAAGATGTGCAATGATCTTACAGCCTTTTCTTATCCATTCTCCTTTCTTTCCTCCATTCCTTCCTTCTTTCTTTCCTTACAAATTCTCTTTTCGACTTCTCTTGAGTTAGTCTTTTTGTGTTTTGATTTCCCAGTCTTATTGTATCGTTTCAATTTCTAATCCAGTTTCTCTTTTTGGCCTTTTCATTTTGGCTCTCATTCTCCCCCTCCATCCTTCCCTCCCCCCCTCTC